TAAACACCAACATGGGGTTCTAAGTGCCTCTGCCCTTTAGGAGAGTCAGGCTGTTCACCCTGAGAGGAACAGACTTTGCTGCAAAAAGCTCCCAACACCTGGACAACTTACATGTCCTTATCATAAGAGTCTTCCAGCTGTCCCCAAGTCCAGTCTGTCTAGGCACTCACTTGTGAACAACGCCACATGCAACACCTCCTGGTTGACTGGAATTTATCCAGGAAACCCGTCACTGCTTTTGTTTTTGTCCAGACCTGGCTGCTTCCGCTTAGCTCCTGGAGCATGCTCCACGGAGCACCTACCAAATGGGGTCCCCGGCCTCCATGTGCCCTCGCCAGCTTTACCTCCGTGGCAATGCAGGGGATTAAAAAGATTGAAAGTAGCTTGAAGTGAAGGCATAAGTCACAAAACAATCCCACACTAGTTTGGAATTATGATTAATAGGGTGGTATTTATTTAAAGGGGAAAAACTTACAGATCACTGTCCCAGACAACAGTCCTCTGCACAATCAGGAAGGAGTCTAGTCACCGGAAACGGAGCTGGAAGCAAAGAGAGCAAGTAGGGAAGTGGCTGCTTTTTTAAAGAGAGAGACCGCACCCCAATGGGCTGGTATCTCAGAGGCTATTGGCTGGAAGAGCGGAAGGACCTCCCACAACATTAAAGAAATTTTAAATTCTGCTATTGTAAACATTCTGGTAGGTTTTGTAAGTAAGTGTATAATCCCATATTAAAAAGTGTGCCAAATGGACCCCCCTGAGGGTCTACTGGCAGGTAACAGTTGCTGGGCAGGCTCTCATTTTCTTCAGTGATGTGGCCATTGGTCAGTACCCATGTTCCAGTAAATAACCTCCACCCATGCTCCTGTGGGCAACTATAATTTAACTTTAATTAGACAGACAAACAGAACACATAAAAATCACACATGGCTAAAAGTCACTTGTGAGTGGGTACATATGATATTTGTCTTCCTAGGTCTGGATCACCTCACTCAATATGTTGTTTTGTAGATTCATCTATTTAGCTGCAAATTTCAAGATGTCATAATTTTTTTCTGCTGTGTAGTACTCCATTGTAACAAGGCATCACCTTTACCTTATCCATTCTTCAGTAGATAAAATCAATAAAAAAATTTAAAAAGCCACACATTGTCTTATAAGGGGCATTTCCTAGGGAAGGGATGATAGAGAGGGGTGGGGGGAAAGTGATTAAAATTCGTTATATGTATGTAAGAAACAGTCAAGGACTAAAATCAGTGTCAAGAGCAGTAGCATTTGGGGCTGAGCTTGTTAGTCGGCCTTTAGGAGCCCTCCCTGGATCCTCCCACAGACTAGCTCATTCTTGCAGAACTCCACCCTCGCACCCCTGAATCTTGCTGCCTCCCCCAAATGTCAGAGGACAATAAAAGACAGCATAGATGGGGCCCAGCGAGATGGCTCAGTAGATAGTGTCTTATCGTCCTTGCAGAGGATTCAGGTTCAGTTCCCAGGACTCACACAGGGGTTCACGACCCTCTCAAATTCCAGTTCCAGGGCACCAGACAACTTCTTCTGCCCTCCTGGGGGTACCAGGCATTTATGTGATGCCTACAAATCCAGAAAAAAATCATACACTGAAAATAAAAATAAATAAAATCTTGTTTGAGAACACATGAAAAATCGCAGGAAGTTTATGAAACCTCGTGTGATATTTTAATAATGCCATCATTCTAAAATGTGAAGAAAAGGTAAAAATATAAAATTCTATATGAGAAACGAGATGGGAGATAATGCGGGATTTAATACTGCTGGTAACCTTCCCCTCCCCGCGCCAGCTGCACGATGAGCTCAGAACATAAATCTGGCCAAATGGATCTGAAAATACCACTCTCACTGGTGAGGACATTCCTTACAAACAACCTTTAGGATTAGAATAGTAAACGGGCATTAGTAACCCACAGCTGAGGAAATTAATGCCTGCCTCTTCAGCCAGAGGTTCAGCTATGATGCCATCATCTACCTGGGACTGACCCACTGATGGATCACTTGCCACGACAATGTGTGGACTGAGTTCATCAAAATAGCCACATGTTTGGTAGATATAAGCCACCAGGGACCATTTTATTTCGCCTTCTTCACTATGCAGATGTATATTTCTTTCTCATGCCTCTTTAGATAATAACCCAACCAAAGCAGGTCCGGAGACAAGAGCAGAAAATGGTCTAAGGACTGTGTGAGTCTTTGAAGCTATAAAAATGACTCCATCACCCACAAGGCCTAGGACACAGCCCAAAGATAAATCACCAGACAGTGACATCTTCCTGTCTCTTGTTCAGCATCCTGTGGCCACAAATGTGCCGTGTGTCTGATGGATATATTCATGGGGACTTTTTGGGATAAAGAGAATGGCATAAGTTAGCACATTGCTGGCAGAAATACGATCCAGGGTGTGCCTGCTGGCATCCTTTTGTCTCTGGGTATAGCTCATGCCCAGGTCCCTGGAGGGCACACACAGCCCTGTGGGTTTTGCTTCGGGGCCCTTGGCGCTCTTGAGGAGTTACTTTAGTGAGACAAATGGCTAATTCTCCCCAGCCAAATGCTGCACATTTCATGATTAAAGACAAGCTTCCCTACACTGGGCCTCGTCTATTTCCCCGGCAGTGAAATATGTATGGATTTATATTTCCTTTCTTTCCTTCATAAATACGAGCAGTTGGTAAAATGCTGCAGGAACCGACTACGTTAAATCTCCCCCTTGATGATGAAAGGAATCTCCTCGTTGTTGCTTCTTCCTTTAAAGAAAAGAAACGAGGCGTGGGCCACTGTCTAATGATTTCATGACAGAATCTATTCAGTGGTGCTGTCTGCCACGTGAAATAAGTAGAGTTTAGCACATTCCCTCGACCCAGCTGGAGTACAGTTCACGTTGGCTGGAAGGTAAGAACATGGTAAACCCATGCATTATTAATCATCCCACACTGCTCATCTGAACACAGTGGCTTGCAGCCAGTGTCCAACCGTAGCTGTTCCAAATTGTGTAAACGTACTATGTACTGTAGAAAATATGGGATACGTCATCTTCCTCCCCCGTTTTACCAGTGTGTACCACTGGTGTGTAATACCCATGAGCTAGAAATGCAGTAGAAGAGGCAGGGGACAGCCGTGCCAGGGATGGCTGTGACAACAGCCACACTGCAATGGACACACCCTTGACGGACCTCCTCTAACGCAGAAATCACACAGAAGGCTTTTGTGGCTGCTTAGAGTTTGGCAGCAATTACGGGGCTGTAAGGAATGGCACTTTTGAGAGTCTGTGGCTTTTTTCTTGGGTGTCCTGCCTTACTCTCTCGCACCTGGCTCTCATAGGGTGCCTGCTATCCAGTGAATTGCCTGAGAAAGGCCCACACGGCAGAACCAATGCCTTAGCTAAGAGCTATCAGGAGCTTCAGGGACCGAGAGTTCAATGAGAGCCTGGAAACACAACTCAAAATACCCTAGGTGAGAGGAGGTGCCCGGCTCTCTGGGCCTGCCTCTTCCTCACACGCTGATGAAGACTACCAGCCGGAGGTTCTCACCAATGCTCAAGCCAGATTCCTTCCTGACCACAGTCACTGTGATGAAGTTGGATACAGAGTAAGAGGTACCACATACTTCTACCTGGTGGCAGAATCAGGCGATGGACAAGTGGAAATCTGCATGCGATGGTTGTTGTGATGGCCAGCTGCCTGCGTGCCTGGAAGAGCTCCTTCACCAGACAGTGGAGCGACTAAAACCTTCAAAGACAACCCCCCAGCCACCAGGCTGGGAGAAATAAATTCTCGTGTAGGCCGCCTAGCCTGGGTATTTTGCTGTGGGAGCGAGTAAGGACCTCTCCTCCTTCTCCTCCTCCTTCCCCACTGCTGTGAAGCCTTCGCCAGAGAGCGTTGTTCCTGCCATGTACACGGTACAGTTCCCATGCACAGTAAAGACACGGGAGAGCTGGAGCAGTGGAACAGACAGATCCCCAACAGTGCTGACCTGTGAGGGCAACACGGGTAAGCACGGAGTCTTCAACTCAGACACATGCTCACACACATATGCAAACACATTCACACACACACAAACACATACACACATACACAGACACACACATACACACACAAATACACACATATACACAAACACATACACACATACACAGACACACACAAATACACACATACATACACAGACACACACACAAACACACAACACACACATACACACACCTGGGTCAGAAGTACTTGGCTCTTACTAAAAGCATCAGACATTTTGCTAAGGAACTTTCCAGGCAAAGTATAGAAGGAACATCATGGGTTTAACTATTCCTTACCTCAAATGTCAGAGGAGAGAGGTGAAGTTAAGGAATTATTGATCAAAACATAACCAGAACTTGAAGATCAGGATAATTTTCAGCTTATTCTTATATATACATGTGTGTATATGTACTGTGTGTGTGTGTGTGTGTGTGTGTGTGTAAGAAACATATAGATCATGTGAGTGAGAAGTCCTTGGAGATTATTAACAATTCGCCAGTTAGTGGTTCCTTACAAGAGTGGCCATTTCCAGTCTTGTGAGGAGCTAGAATAGCTACTAGACTTTCTTCTTTAGATATCTGTTTTTTAACAAGTTACTCAATTATCTACGTGCATTCAATTTATTTCTGTCACCATAATGTGTTTGAAGATTAGAAAGAAACATGCCATTTTGACAGCTACTGATTGTGCTTCTGTAGTTTTATATAGATTTCTGCATCAAGCTCAGGGAAGAAAACATCCTTCAGTTTTAGGGCAGGGGTTGTAAAGATCGCTGGGTGCCTTCTTTAAAGTATCTCTCTGAGATCCTTGCTGCTCCTGCTTATGGCCAGGAAAGGAAAGAATGCTAAATATATGTAGCATGACGCTTCCCTTATTGTCTGTCTTCACATAGGTTTTTTTCCTGAAGAACAACGAACAGAAAAGGCTCCCACTACCATGGGACAGTGGACAGATCCAGCCCTTGGTCATGGAACAGCAGGGAACTTCCACAGTTGCTTAGAAGGATATAGGTAATCCTGGTGTTTTTCTTCCTCTAGACTCGATGGACAACTATAACACTTAATCTGATCGGGACCTTTATAAGAGAGTAAGAGTCAAAGGATTGGGCTGTAACATAGAGCACCAGACATTTCCCGCACACTGTACTGGAGTGGTAGGAGATGTGGTTTGCTAGCAAGTGGAGCAGGACATGTGACAACAGGAAATATGAGAGTAGTTGATGGGAGCCAGTCCCCTGCCTCAGTTACTTGAGCAGTGTGCTGTGTACGTAGCCTCTGTTGAAGCTTGAAACAAGAGAGCAGCCCACCCTCTGTCAGGAGCCAATTTCCTCCTAGGATTATTGCAGGAACCATCACCCTGGGGAGTCTGCAGAGAACTCCACACCCATAATTGTGTTAGGAATCGTTCTATTGACAGAGCCTACCCCACACCCAAATTGTTGTTAATGGAGAGCTATCTGTTAGCGGAACCCGCCCCACATTCCAAACTATCTAGAGAACTAGGTGTGCCAACTCCTAGTTGTGACTTCCTGGCCTACGTGACCAAAGTGAACCATGTGACCAATGAGAACCACGCGGCAAGAGCCCAGGCCCCTGTGCCCACCCCCCAACTCCTCACCCTATATAAGATGTACCCCATCTCTAATAAACGGAGGCTTTGACAAGAACCCCGCTTAGCCTCCTTCCTCTTTCCTAGCCCATTTATCTTCCAGATAGTGCCTCTCCAGGGCCCTGGAATAACTAACTGCAGGGTGGGTTACAACCCCTAGACTGAGTAACCCACCCAAAAGCGGTCTACAACCCTCCACCCTATGATGACATTTCAACTCCACAGAAACAGAAGTTTTAGGTAAGTGGGGTTGACCTCTGTCTAACATTGAATAGTTACGTTTCTCTCTTGATATTAAACCTCCAGATTAATCCTACTGTAATTTGGTAAGAAAGGATCCCCAAAGAAAGGAAGATACTGGTATATTCCTTGACAGTAAAAGCCTTCTTAATGCTTGATTAGAAGACAAGCAAAGGAGAAAGAAGCCTTAGGGAACAGCATGCAAGATCTAGATGTCATAATTAGATCCAGGCTCATTCTAGCTTCATCCCATCTGGTGAAGATAGATCCCATCCCAGTCGAAGACAGGCAGTTCATGGAGCTCTTCTTGATTCATTTCACAAGAAATTTTGGACCACTTGTAAAAGAGAAAGTCTGTTTTGATGATGAGAGTCAAAGAAGTATCGAGATACACAATCATTTGGCACTGAAAAAACTTCCCCTGCAAAGTAAACGAACTATGGAAAGCCACAGGGCTTCCAGAAACTCCCTGTGGCCCTGTTGATATAATCCCCACCCACAGGTCCTGGCAGTTTGGGTTTGTCAGCACTGATTGCATGGGCAGCTGTCTCTGAAGGTCCTGCTGCCACACAGCCCATCTGAAACGTGCTTTCATCCTGAGAGATATCCAGAAGGTGGCTCGGAAGCAGAATCAAAGTCAGTGTTTCTGTGACTTCCTGGGGAATGGGACCTGGGAAAAGGGCCACCAGGCAAGAGGGCAGGGCCATGCGGCAAGGAAATAGGGCCACAGAATGCATTTATGAGACAAGGTTACCTGAGGAAGCAGTGTTCCTGTATGTGAGCAGCCATCTGGCCTATGGCTTAGAAAGTCACCCAGACCTTAGTGGTTCCTGCTGACCGCGATTGGCCTGATGCTGTGACTGCCTCAGCTGGTTGTGAAAATGGGTGTGGCATTGGGGTGGCCTCACAGGAACTGTTAGGGCTTGTTTTGGACTGCAACCTCTCAGCCTCTTCTCTCTTCCTCTACCATTTCCCTTCTTCGCTCCTCCCCCTACATCTGTCTGTCTGTCTATCAAACTATCTGTCTATCTATCTATCTATCTATCTATCTATCATCTATCTATCATTCTGTCTGTCTATCTATCTATCTATCTATCATCTATCTATCATTCTGTCTATCATTCTATCGATCATCTATCTATCTGTCTGTCTGTCTGTCGGTCTGTCTATCTGTCTATCTCACAATTTCTCCTCCCACCCCTCTTTCTCCTGTGCCCTTCTTCCTCTATTATCCACCTGTCTACCTTGGCTTCTTCTATGGCAGTACAAGACAGAAGCTTCCAACTCTTTCGTAAATGCTCACAAAGTCAATTCTGTCACGACACCTTCGTTGGAAAAATCACAAGCCTATATCTAACGGACCCTGCAGACTCTTCCCCTTAATAGACTCAGACAAATGTGAAGGTCATGTGTGCTGCAATCGTGCATATTTAATACACAATGTATGATATATTTAATCCATTACACAGTTATATCTATTATGTGCATGCATATTGTATATAATATATAACTATAAATTACATGCATACATATTACACATAACACATAACTATACATTACATATTATATATAATATATAACTATATATATATATAACTATATATATATTAGCCTCTGCTGACTAAGAGATGATTGGAAAATGTCATTAAAGCCTGGCATAGAAAGACAGAATGAAAAATTATTTATCATGTTGAAATAATTTAAAATGTAAAGAAAAGCTGTAAGAATGGCATTTGGAACCTGCTCTTGCGTCTGGAGTGATGGCTTGAGATTCAGAGCATTTTCTCCTTTTCCAGCTGACCTGCTCCAGGGCAGCTGATGCCCTCTTCTGGCCCCTGCAGACGGCTGTCCTCCTGTGCACATACCCACACACAGATACACATACCCACACACAGATACACATACCCACACACAGATACACATACCCACACACAGATACACATACCCACACACAGATACACATACCCACACACAGATACACATACCCACACACAGATACACATACCCCCACACAGATACACATACCCACACACAGATACACATACCCACACACAGATACACATACTTAAAAATAAAATGAGAAGGACTTCCTTGTGCCATTAATTGAGTCATCTCGACTATAAAAAATTTACCACATTTGTCTTGCCCTCAGAACAGCATCTAAATTCAGAAAATGGTTCTTTTTGACTCTGGAGTTTGAGGAGAAAGAGACTAGTAATAGGTAGAGAACAGGATCTTGGGAGGCACTCAGTAGAATATGGTCAGAATGACCAACTCAGGGATGTCCCAAAACACTAAAATCTACAATTTCTATGAGTACAATCACGTGCCACAAAATTGCCTGCAAGCTATTCCCTGTAAGCACTGGTGAACAACTTTCATGACGGATGAAATTACATTGAGGGCTGTAGCCTCCCTTCGTACCAGGGATCTGTTGAAAATGCCACTTAAATAGAATACCCGGGTATCTAAAACCAAACAAGGGCATCTGAGCTCTGCTGTGTGAAGTTGGTGCTTGATTGCAACTCAGTTCTCTGAGTGTCTTTGAGCTAAAACATCAGTTGAATTCAAACACTTCCAAGGGCCAAGTGATTTGTGTGAATGCTTGGCATCTGCCTACTGTGTACAGACAGCTGGCTTGGCATCAGCCTACTGTGTGCAGGCAGCCGGCTTGGCATCTCCCTACTATGTGCAGACAAAGGCACTGATAGGCAGGACCCCTGTTGGGCTGCAGTCTGTGGAGCTCTACAAACGTAGGTACACACATAGCAATGTAAGGAACAACAAATCAGGAGTGGCAGGTTGGGCCAGTTTAGCTGTGTGTGATGGGTAATACACACAGCACAGTGGGGTTTGTATGGGTGTGCACTGCACCTCAGCAGGTAAGGAAAGCATGGCTGGGCAAACCTCACTGAGTGGCACTCTCTACAACCCACTTTCTCGTTCAGCCCCCCGTTTCTCAGGTGAGACTGGGTTTCTTTATTTGAAATGTGCTAGCATTTGCATTTTTACATCAAGTAGTATTAAGTTTTATTGCATTCAGAAAATTATTAGTATAAATAACATTAGCAACTGGACAAAAACTGCCATCTTTTGGAAGGCTTTGAGGAAATTTTGAAAAAGTTCTTGATTGCTACCACAGCCATGCATATTCTACACATTACGTTATTGAAATGGCAAGAAATACATTATGGGTAGTTTCCATTTTGTAATGCAATTTATATTGTAAAGCAATTTGTATTTCTTCAGAACATGCTGCCATGCTATCCTAGGTAATATCATGTAATTACCCAGGTAATTCCTAGGTAATTAAAATGTGTGTGTGCACGCATGTCTGCAGGTGTCCACACGTGCATGTACATTTGTACATGTGTTGGTGTATGTGTGCATACGTGCATGTGCATTTGTACATGTGTGTCTGTGTATTGCGCACATATGTATGTGCATTTGTACATGTGTGTCTGTGTATGTGTGCGCATGTGGGCAGATGTCTTTGTGCTTCCGCTTGTTCACATGCATGTGTGTCTCTAGGTGTGTATGTTCACATGTGTCTGTATACACGTATGTATTCACATATGCATTAAAGCAGTGTGTGTGTGTGTGTGTGTGTGTGTGTGGTGGAGTGCTTGGTTGAATGAAACCTTCTAATTGAGTCTCGAATAGCATTGTTTCAGAACCCCTCATAAAATCACAGGGCTGGGAACCTGAAGGGGAGTAGAGTCCAACTCTCAGTTGACCCTTCCTTGACCTCACCCAGTGTTTCTGTGGTATGAGCACCAAGTATCCACATATCTATAGGTTGAAAATGGGATAGACAGAAACAGGAATGGATGAGAAATAGTCTGAATTCTAAGATTCTGATGGCTTCCGGTTATCTGCTGGGGCTTCAGTCAGTAGAGCATGGGACTCTTAATCCCAGGGTCGTGGGTTCGTGCCCCATGTTGGGCACCATTCTGTTGTGGGGAGCTGCTGGTTGCATTCAGCCACCCAGCTCCTGCCACTGGCTAGCTTTAGCCGAAATAACAACACACAAACTGTATTCTTTTAAACACTGCTTGGCCCATTAACTCTAGCCCTTTCAGGCTAATTCTCATATCCCGATCAACCCATCTCTAATAATCTGTAGCATCAGTCTTACCGGGAAAGATTCAGCATGTCTGACCTGGCAGCTTGCCTCAAGGCATCTGCCCGGGAGAGGGGACCATGGTCTCTGAGCTCACTCCATCTTCCTCCAAACATTCTGTTCTGTTTACTCCTCCCACCTTTGTTTTAACCTATCAGGGCCAAGCAGTTTCTTTATTTTTTAGCCAATGACCTTCCTCCATCATGGATGGGTGTGTTAGATACAGTTTCCTTTCTGATAAAGACAGGAGAAACCCTACTCCAAAGAGAAACCCTACCGAAGGAGATGGGAACTCTCAGAAAAGAAGAATGGACTCAGTCTTTTGTGCCTTGGCTTACCACAGTTAAATGGAATTGTTTCCTTATGAGTGCACAATTGCCCTCACATTCAGACCAAGGAAGTCGCCAAAGCTTTTAAGTTCTATTCCAGTGTAAGCCACAAAATTATTAATTAAAAAATCTATCATTCAAAGTCCATCCTTTTCCTTATCAAGTATATCAAACACAGACAAAAATGGATTGCCAATGTTTCGTTAAGTGTCTGGAAGGAGCGTAGCTGTATGATGTAGTGGAACATTCCCTTTCTACAGCGTGTGCCCCATCTCCTCACCACCCACCTTGTCCTTCTTCTCCCTCCCTCCCTCCCTCCTCCTCTGGCTAAGTTTCAGAGCCATCTCTCTGTGATGCTAACACAAGAAGCTCTGTCTTCAACTGCTTCAAACATCGTCACACAGAGCATATCAAAGCAAACAATTATAGCTCAATTTTAATAACATTTTTACTTCACCCAATTATAAAAGACATGTGATGGCTGCTTTAAAATCAAACTGAAAAATCTTACATGGCATCTTAGCATTCATGAGTAATTGAAAGGAACTTTGGCTCAGTGGGTTGTGTTATGAGAGCTAAGATGTCAAAAAAAGTTTCGGTTTATAAAAATGAAGTCTATTTTCAAATTAGGGAATATGGAGCAGACTGAAGATGGGAGAGAATCAGAAATCACTGTGAATCATTGTGACATGAGAGCTGGAGTGCAGACACTTGACACACAATGACTAGAAACACTCCCCCAAAGGGACTCAGTAAGGTTAAATACAAAATAAACTAACATATTCATTACATTTATGAAAACAGTATATTTATTTTACAAAATGAAATAAATTATTATATTTCTAGTGCTCACTTTAAGATTCGTTATCAAGGGGCTGGAGGGGTGGCTCAGTAGCTAAGAGCACTTGCTGCTCTCATAGATGATACGGGTTCAATTCCCAGCTCACATGGCTCACAGCACTGGTAATGCCAATCCCTGGCACCTGATACCTTTCCTGACATCTGTAGGTCAGGTATGTGGTTCACAGATGCACATTCAGACAAAACACTCAAACACATACAAATAAATAATCTTTCAAAAATAACTTTAGATGTCAAATTATTTATTCTTCTGTTGTGGCAAATGAAGTGTCGTAGTCTTCCTCCTCCTCCGCCCCATCAACTTCTCATTTCTTCTTCACAGTGATCCAGCCAGGGAGGCCTTATCTAGCACGGCAGGGAAACACTGCAGAATGAGAGAGAAGGCGTCCTCCTTCCCTGTTACTCATCACGAGTGGTGAATCTGGGATGGCAATTCACACCTGGAGTTCATCTTGATGTCTCAGGGCTGTCTCTATCCATGTCCACAGCTCCCACTTTCCTGATCTCTGGGAGACATCATTGCAATGTACTGAGCATAGAAAGAATTTTGGTTTCAGTACCCTGACCCATGCAAAGTAAAGTGTCTTGATTTTCCCAGCACACTCAGGAGGAAAGCCTGTGTTGTAAAAATCTTTACATCTCAGCCCTTCTTCCAAGCATGTCCTCACTTCTGAGACCCAGAGCTGGTGGAACCATTCCACAGGACAACAGCTATCCCCTGCACAGTGGGTACAATCGCTACCATGTGTGTAGAGTGCTGCTGTGCATTGGAGACCTACTTCTACCCCACTCTTCCTTGGTCTTTATCAACTGACTGGCAGTGCTGCTGCCCACAAAGGAGTTCTAGTCTTCATCTTCCTGAATAGCCCAGTGTCATCACAACTTTGGTCTTTTGGGGAGAGTATCCATTCTTCTCCACTCTCCTTTTAACACCCAGAAATGCAGTGATACTTTCTCCATTAGCAGACAGTTTTCTTCCATCACTTTATAAACACTTTCTTCTATCCCCTGGACAGTTTCTACCGAACTTCCATCTTTATCTTGTAGCACGTTTGTTAACTGAGTGCATCTCATGATATAGGAAATCTAAATTTTTTTATTGTAATCACAACATCAGGAAAACTAGTGAAATTGACTTATACAATGCAATGCATAGTAAAAACACCAATTGAGAAACAGTTTCCTTGAATGTTTAACCCACTTTTAATCAGATATTTTAACTCTAGTTATCAATTTCTGGAGAAGCAGAGTAAAACTTTACATGTTCAGAAGTGACATTGGCATCCACTGGCATCCACAGTTGGGACACTCAGTCTTGATGGTCAGTTCAATGGGGCATAGAATGACCATGAAGATCAGTCTGTGCATTACTCTGTGGGATTATCCATGTCAGGTTTGCTGCAGTAGGAAGGACTCAGTCTTAACGTGGGTGCTAACACTCTAGGGCCTGGGGGCCAAGACTGAATAAGAAGAGAGAGCTGAGCACTAGCATCCATCTCCCTGAGACTGTGGTCACAATGTAACCAGCTCTGTCAAAATCTAGCTGTGTCTCCAGGGAACATGTGAGCTGATACAAATCCTCTCCTTTTAAGACACTGTTGTTGGTTACTTGTTAGTGTAAGGACACAGAATAACCAGGACAGGGTTAGTAAAGAGAACACCTGATGTAGACAGAAGAGATCTAATGGAAACATCAATCAAAAGCAGTGGATAAAGTTCTTTAGATATTGTTTCATATTCATCAACTACAAAAAAATAAAATTTGAAAAATTTTGATAAATTTCTCGAAGATATTTTGATAACTTAATCTGAGAGGCAAATCTAGTTGTATGCTTTTGCTGGGTGTTTTTTAAATTATTTTAAGAATATGCACATGTGTGTATGTGTGTGTGTGCGCATGCATGTGCACAAGTGAGACCATTCTGAGTCCATCTATTAATACTTATACTTGTATGATTTTTGTGCTGACTACTTAGATAACCCTCAACACTTGTCCCCCTCAGCAGACACTAATTGCCTCTACTTCTTTATCCAGGGTTGGGGCCTTGTGGGATTTCTCCTGCCCCTGTTGGCATGTCAAGTTATGTTATCATTGCGCAGGTCCTTTTTAGGGCATACTGTTGGGATCCATGTGTGGAGTTTCCATGTCATTTGGTCAGGGCTTTTGGACAGCTGTTTGGTTGGTTTTCTGTTTGTATGTTATCACAGCAACAGGAGCAGCACCAAAGGAAGCACCTGAAACAAATTTAAGACCTAAGCTCCCCCTTCAATCCTTATGTTTACACAATGTGACATGAGAAAGGATTCAACACAAGAAAGGATTCGCCTGAGTGAAGGCGCTCTCATCACACCTGTATCTAGTTACGGTGTTTGATCTTGAAGTCAGCAAGCCCTCAAGTCAACATTTGACTAACAACAGGGCCAATGTTTGAGAACACAGAAGTGACCTTTCTTCCCCTTCACTAATCCTTCAGTAAAGGGTAAATGACTGTTTTGTGAGAGCACAATCATGGACCATCACAGCATCTGAAAACCCAAAGGCTTTAGCTTCAAGCATTTTGTGTGGAGCAAAGAGAGAGAAGCTATGTCTTTGAGAAGGAAACCAATGAAGCTGGCCTCTCACGAAGAACAACTTACAATGCCTCATGTGTTCCAGCACCAATCACCATACTCCCTGTTCCATGAGGATGAATGAAACACCCAACTCCCACGCACACCACAGTTTTCTCTATGGGCATAAGGCAAGAGCATCAAAGGTCGTTCCGACCGCTAATGACCGAGTCTTTGATACTGGGTCAAATTTGGAAGGGAAGATATTTGGATAAATCTTTATGCTACCATTTCTGGGTATTTCTCTTCATCTTATGACAGAACCCGAGGAACTCCTGATAAAAAGCCTGACTCTTCCAGCACATTGAATTCTGCTGCCTGCACTCATGGTGAGTCAACCGTCTCATGTAAAAACCTTTATGGAAAGGCCTTAAGAAACCCTCCCAGAGATGTGTCTCCTAGGTAATTACAAATCCCAAGTAACTTGCAGATGAAAGGGGTTATTTCTCTCACAGCCCTATGTTGTATGGAGCTGCGGGCTGAGTTCCTGCCACCCAGCTCCTGGCTGCCTGGCTAGCTTATGCTCCAAAATAACAACACACAAACTGTATTCATTTAAACACTGCCAGGCCCATTTCTATTAATGTGTGTAGCACCGAGGTGTGCTTACCGGGAAGATTCTAGCCTACATCCATTCTGGGTCGGAGCTTCAGCGCGTCTGCCTCAGAGAGGAGAGCTATTGAGTCTGAGCTCACTTCTTCTTCCTCCCAGCATTCTGTTCTGTTTACTCCACCCACCTAAAGGCTGGCCTATCAAATGGGCCAAGGCAGTTTCTTTATTAGCCAATGCAATGACCTTCCTCCATCATTTCCCCTTTTTCTGTTTAAACAAAAAGAAAAGGCTTTCACTTTAACATAGCAAAATTACATATAACAAAACAGTTATAAAGCAAGAATTACAGTTACAATATTTATATCTATTTTATCTTTTATCATAACTAAGGAAAACTATAACTATCTATCTAATCTTCAACTCCATCAAAGACTCCAGAAGGATAAATATTATCTGAGTAAATGAGAAGTAAGAAACTTACAAAACTCTAGAAATCACAGAGACATCTTGCTGCCTGGACAGTCACCCAAAGTTCCTCTGTACCGTTGGGGCATCCATCTTCGACCTACAGGCCCATAGTTTCCAGCAGACATTTCCATGAAGCAGGAAATTTCAAAGGCAGTTCAGTCACTATCTGCTGTGTCCTGCAGAATGTCTCGCAGACTCTTTCATAAATCAGGAACCCTGAAAGATCATCTCACCTTTAGGCAAGTTCAGTAGTCCTCTCTCTGTGGGTTCTCTGTGTCCAGTTCACGCATCAGTCCAGGCAAGAGCAGTTTCTTGCCCAAATGGCTATCAAATTCCATAAGGATCCTCTTCAATGCCCATCTTCCTCTTGAAGTAGATTGGTGCTGCCAGGAGCAGAGTGTCTCATTGTCATGAAAAGTCCTAAGTTATTAAAACATTTAAAATGTCATATTCTCTAGCCTTTGAATGATATGAAGAATGCCCATCTGAAATATATCTATGTACATCTAGAAAATCTAACTAACATGACTACAAGCTTGACTAAAATTAATGATTATCCATTAACAACCTATATACAATACATTTTTACATGAACTATATAATTACAATACCCTAATCAATATCAGAAATATATAGAGCTGGTTTTGAAGTTGGACTCTGGCTCAGTCCCTCTCCAATTCCAAGCCTGTTGGTAAGAGAAAAACCCAGAGTTTCTGGAGTTTTTGTCTCATGTCAAGAGCCATGATATGGGACAGAAAGAAATATAAGTTTAGAAAACATCTCTGCTTTTCCTCATATCTATCATACTTTTCATTGAATATATCTATCATGCCTTTCATTGAATATATATATATATGTATATATGATAAATGTTTAAGTTTTTCACAATGAACAATGAGTTTTTCCTGAAGTGATATTTGAAGTTTCCAGGAAGAAGATGGGGCCCCATAACAACAACTCCACCTGGTTGATATGATGTCATGATACTGATAGCGCTACTACAAGACCCATTTTGGGTACCAGCTACACAAGACGATCCCAAATTGGTTAGCTGAAATGGTGCACATCTTTTATAACATTCTGTCCAGACCCGCACAAAATACTCAGAGACTATTTGCAATTTTAAAAGACATTGATCTTGAAATTTAACCATCATTTTACTTTCACAGGATCCCCCAGAAAGAACGTCGCCCCCATGACAGCTGGAAGTAATTCTAGAGGACGACGTCCCCTCTCCCAGTAAAGTTTGCCCTTGGGTTTCGGGACATCATTTAGGGGTTGATTGTAATTAGTATATGGTTGAGGGTTGGGACGTTGGGGGAGGAATTTTTTAAGCTCAGGAATTTTTTGAAAAAAAAAGAAGAGGGATAATTGGATGATGGGATAATAGATTTATAATTGTGAGTTACTGTTTTTAGACAAATATATTGGTATCAATTCTTGTATATTGATACAAAGTTAAATTATATTGACTATTGTATGCATGCATGTTTCTACCTCTGTTTAAAACATTTTTTATGTATTAACATATATTGTATTGATATATATATATAGTATATATTTTATTGCAGTGTACATTTCTACCTCTGATTAAGATATTTATATATTGTTTGTGTATTGATGTATATTTACCATATTGCAATGTATATTTGTAGATTGTTTATATTTGGAGGTCATTATCCTCATTTGTTACACAGTTGTTTATTGCCTTAGTCTTTAAGTTAGTTAGATATTGAGAATTATATAGATCAATAGTCATCTAAGTTTGTCATTTATAATTAGACTAATCAGGTTCTTTAGATACATAGAGATTATACTCAGTATAGATAGATAATCTTCAACCTCTTACAAAGAGCTGTAGAAAATGACCTTTAATCTAACTCAGAGTTTCATGACACTAAGACATAATTGCTCCTGGCAGCACCAATCTATTCCCAAGAGAATGTTGAACACCAAAGACACTCCACCTGGAGCCTTTCTTTTTGGCAGAACTGGCCTTTGGGCAAAGAAATGCCCATACCTCAATCACTGACAGAAATACAGATCATGCATCAATGTATAAAAGAGGACTGTCATATCCTGTCAAGACCGGGTAAGATAGTTTTGAAAAGTTGCTTGCCTTTGAAAATGGTATGTCAGTTATGTTAGGCCTTAGCCAAAGTTGGTTGCTTCAGTACTGCAAATGTGACTTTGGGTGATTGCCCAGGTAGCTTGTTGTCTCTGTGATTTGTTGCATGTTTTGGAAGTTGTTTTACTGAACTTCCTAATTACCCAGGTAACATTATTTCCCTTCTCAGATCTTTGATGGGGTTGAAGACTATATAAATATAGTTACTTTTCTCTCATGACTTGGCCAAGTTATTTATTGTACAAGACCTAAGCTAGTTAGAATAGGATATTTGTACTTATTGTATATAATTTCATAGTAGGTTTAGAACTCTCTTACTTAAACAAAAGGAGGAGGTGTTGCGGGAGCTTCTTCCGCTCCTTCAGCCAATAGCCATTGAGATACCAGCCCATTGGGGTGTGGTCTCTCTCCTTTTAAAAAAGCGGCCACTTCCCTCTCCTCTCTCTCTTTGCTTCCTGCTCTGCTTCCGGTGACTAGATTCCTTCCTGATTGCTCAGAGGGCTGTTGTCTGGTACGGTGATCTGTAAGTTTTTACCCCTTTAAATAAATACCATCCTATTAATCATAATTCCAAACTGGTGTGGGATTGTTTGTGATTTATGCCTTCATCAGTTCTATATACCACTTCATCATCAAAAGCAGTCAGGACAGGACCTCAAGCAGGGCAGGATCCTGGAGGCAGGAGCTGATACAGAGGCCATGGAGAGGTGCTGCTTACTGGCTTGCTCCTCATGGTTAGCTCACGCTTTCCCATGTAACCCAGAACACCAGCCCAGGTCTATCCTCACCCACAGTTGTCCGGGCTCTCCTCCATCAATCACTAATTAAGAAAATGCCCTGCAGACTTGCTTATGCCTGATCTTATGGAGGCAATTCCTCAACTCAAGCTCCTTCCTCTCCGATGACTCTAGCTTGTGTCAAATTGACATAAAACCCCCAGTGCAGCTGCTGGAGCATGGGTCACTATCTCCTGAGAACCAGCCTGCCCCTGAGCAATGGCTTTTGTACCCTTTGGAGAAGCAGAGCTGAGTCAGGTATCCAACTAACCCTTCCATTTTCAGAATTACGCAGCTCGACAGAGCTCTTGTTCTTCTGTGTCTGTCCCTCCTTCATTTGAACTCAATGCTCAGGTTAGAACCTGGAAGACAGACGTGGGAATCTGTGCCCTTGGTTGGCTCTTCTTTTCGTTATTCAGTACTCAAACCCTGTTTTGCCTTTCAGCATTACTGACCTATTAGTCAGGATGAGCAGTCAATTCCAGAATACTAGGATTCCTAGAGTCCACACTTTTCCCCAAAGACATTGGATAGTAATCCTACTCCTCATACTTTTTTGCAACTTTTTACACTACCTCTCCCTTCCAAATTCATTACATCTTCATTTTTGCTACACACTCACACACACACACAACCTACTAAGTCCCTTTAGCATTCCCTGACTAAACATGTGTCCAAGGTTGACCATTCGGTATTGGACAATGTAGATTGGAGCTCATCCCAGAAGAACAGTGATTCTCCTCTCTCATTGACCATTAACCCCCTTCCATGTTTCTTCTAAGAGTATATCCTTGTGGAATTTCCCCTGCTCAGGTTCATAACAGTTGATGATGTCATTATTCTAGTCTTGTTCTGGTAGCCATATTTTTGAGAGTTCATCATAATATCTCTCTTTTGACATGAGGAAATGCCGTGGCCTTTTCAAAAAGTAGTTTCAGCATTATTGATAGGCAATTATCACAATTTTTCTAATGTAAAATTATTTTTCTGACACTAAAAGTTCAAGAAGCAGTGTTTTATCAACTATTGGCATGTAATCCAGCCACTGCGAATACTTAAGCCATTTTAGAATTCATTTTATTTAACTATTTCGCATTATTTCTCTGAGGCCTGCTAACTCTGAGTCAGAGGGGAAATTGGGGCCGTGCTCCTGTTCCAAATGCTAAGCCACAAGGACGAGCCCTATTTCTATATCCAGAATTGGGAGAAGGTATAAAAACGGACCCATGTGTGTAGTGTTTTAGTTCCCCATGGCGAGTAGCAAGGGAACATGCAATCCTCCCCACTTGATGTTTCTCACAGCCCTCATAGCCTGAAGGGAGACATCCCTTGGCCCTCACCTCCAGTAAAGGCAGAGAATGGTGTAAAGGAGTCTGCATTCACTTTCAAATATTTTCCACAAATATGAGAAATATGAGAGTCTTCTGTATTTTTCTCACAATGCTAAGTCAACATGGAAATGTGTCATTAAAAGACATCTATACTAAAATCACAGAGTGTGGATTAGATTTCATCCATTTATCTAGGCCTCAGTCTATAGGACTAAAACCTAAGCAATTTTGTAAAGTGTGTGTGTGTATAAAAGAGAGAGAGAGACAGAGACAGAGAAAGACACACACAGGGGGGAGGCAAAAAACACTAATGGGAGATTGAAGAGAAGCTCAGAGATTAAGAGCATTTACTGCTCATGTAGAGGGCCAGAGTTCAGTTGAGTGGCTCTCAACTGCCTATAACTCCAGCCCACTTCCCAAGAATCAAGTGTCTTCTTCTAGGCACCAAAAGTATCTGTACATACATGTGCATTCTTGTACATACACAAGTAATTAAAAATTAAATAAGACTTAAAACCTAGTAATTGCCTAAATGTATTCTTGATTCTTCATCTGCTAGCAACCACTCAAGGTCCAGATCCAGGTCCAGGAGGACCAGGCCATCATCCAGCATGAACTGCTTGGAGGCATTATTTACTTACCTAATATCTAAACTGAGAATAATTTAACAGAACTGGTGCTTTATGTGTCTACTGCATGCACATATGTGACAGGACTATGACAAACATATTAACACTCCTCATTTAATATGATTATATTTGTATTTAACTGCTATATTAAATTTAGATGATTTTACTTCTACTGCTTCATCCCAAACTGTCTCTTTTGGTGTATTGTACTTCCAAGGTCATCCTTTCAAATATTTGCCAGCATATATATGGGCAGAGAATGAGATAGATAGATAGATAGATAGATAGATAGATAGATGATAGATAAAGAAACTAAAACAAAACATTATATCCATAATTTGATAAGAATTACTATATCCACTTATTCCATAAATAGTCAATGCACAGAACACACTACACATGTAAGTTAAAGACGTTTATCCTCCCTTAATGATTCTAGGAAGCTTCAGATAGTGACAAATTCAAGTCAAAATGGAACTGGATGGCCAGCCCACTCCTCTGACCCCAGTGCTTAGAGAAGAAGGCCAACTTTAAAGACAGCTTGAGCTAGTAGCAAGACTCCGCCTGATGGAGGAGGGTCATCTGTCTATGTGTTACTTTCATTGGTTAATAAAGAAACTGCCTTGGCCCTTTGATAGGACAGAAAATTAGGTAGGTGGAGTAAACAGAACAGGATGCTGGGTAGAAGGCAGTGAGGCAGATGCGATGAAGCTCCGGCCCAAGATGGACGCAGATTAGAATCTTCCAGGTAAGCCACCACTTTGTGGTGCTACACAGATTATTAGAAATGGGTTAAGCAAGATTTGAGAATTAGCCAATAAAAGGCTAAAACTAATGGGTCAGGCAGTGTTTAAATGAATACAGTTTGTGTGTTGTTATTTCGGGGCGTAAGGTAGCCAGACAGCCGTGTGTGATCTGGGCAGGACGAAGAGCAAACCTGCTCGCTTGCCTCCTCACTACATCCGCCTTTTAATCAACAAGCAACAATAAAAATTAAACTTTTAAAAGGGGTCACATGTATAAACTGAATATTTGGGGTTTTTCAGTGAGATGGGAGGCAACTAACAGTGCTGGCTAGATGGATTCACACTCATTTTACACACATGGAAAGAAGTTTGTGGTATTTTGGGTAGAAAAATTCACATTTTTATCTTGAGCAAAATATCCAACATATTGTCTGTGATGCCCCTCTTTGAAGATGACCTCCTCATTCTCCCCAAATGTTTTCTCAATATAAACTACTTTTATAAGAAGAAATTCTGACCAAGGATTTTTCAGATATCACTAGAAGATTCTTTCCAACTGCCCTCTGTCCCTGTGTCATGTCAGGCGAGCACTCTGCATGTAGTTCCTAATCCATCAAGAAGTTCCATGCTGAGGATAAGCAAGATTTTGACTGAGTTGTCAGAGGATACTTAATGAGCCCTTTTAATTTTCCAAGTGATAAAAGTCACAGGAGAGAGCTTGCAAAAGTTTGCAAGTATGTGCACCATGAACATGTTCTCCTGTCTCCTTGCTCTTCACCAATGCCTGTAGAGTCCCAGCTTCTAAACTAATTTCAGGATCATGCACACGGTCTCTGTGACCATCTCTGCACAGATCCTGTGTCTCCATGTGGCCCTCATCCCTTTTACCATTTGTGTTTTCCCGAGAGACTTTCAGAAGAATCCCTCCTGGGCTTGGTCTATCTAACATGTCACCTAATCCCTGTGCTGCTGTGCCCACAATGGTGACAGCATCTCCCCCAGTCAAGCTATTCGTCATTTTACCATTTTCAGAAGAGAGATTGCTCCTCAGCTCTGTGGATGGGAACGTCCTGTGTCTTTAGGTTGTCTGTTTCTTTTGCAGGAAATGCCTCTCAAATTCCAGTAACGAAGTTGCGAACAACCTGTCCCATGAAGCCCATCAACACTCTCTCCTAGATTTGACTGATATTGTCAAGTAAGTGATACTCTGAAACCATTTTTATGCACTTCAAAGAAAACAAAATGTAGCATTTGAATCTCTCTTGCCTGTTTTAGAGGTCACTTATCTAAACATTCCTAGGATATCTTTTTAAATAATTAAAAAAAATCTGGCACTGTATATTTTACTTATGCCTATCACAGCTACCATGCTGTCAAATTTGCACCATTGTAGTGTTTTGTGTCTATATTTAATACTGAATCCCATCACAGCATTATGTATCTCCTACCATTTTTTTCTAATATAACTAGGACATAGTAGTTTAAAATGTAAGAAATGCTTAGACATGTCCCCTAGATCATGTCACGCCTGTCATCCCCACCATGCCCTCAGCAACAAAACAAATAGATAAATCACTGTTATGTACAGAGTTGACACGGAAATGAGTTTGCAAGTGTCTATTTGGTGACAGTTTGCATTCTTGTCCAGTGCAGACACAGTCCCCCATCTGTCACACCCTGCTTGGTACCAATCCCAGGGGCCACGGCATCAGCAGGGAACAGATGTGAAGAGGAGGAGAGGGGCAGATGACTCTCCTGCACAGAGAAGGGGAAGAACAGGAACGGGCGGAGGAGAAGACAGGATGGAACTGTAAAATCCAATCTAAGAAGACATAAAACAAGCGGCTGCACCATAGCAAACAAGAGCCCATGAAGAGTAAGCCTGAGACACACAGCAGAGGTCCCGACCCCAGACCAGCCCGAGGGAAGACACTGAGGATACCTGAGAGGCCATGGGTTTGGGAACAAAATCCTAAGAATGAAGTGAAGACATGGAACCTAAAAGACTCTGGAGCAGGAGGGTGACTAGCAAAGGAGATGAAGAACTCGCTAGCTGAGGGTGAGCCTGGCTGTGCTGGTCTCTGAAACACAGAAAAGCTGATGTACTCACCCATCAGCCCCTGTTTTTATGATGAGGCTATTCTAGGGCAAGAGGTCTGAGGAGGTGCAAGCTTGCTGGTTCTTGAACTGAAGAAGAGGTTCCAATAGGGAATGACTGAAGGGGACACAGAGTCAGATGGAGGATTCCTGAGTCTGAACATGACTGGATTCCATGATCATTGAATTGTCTCTTGAACAGACATCAAAGATAGGCAGGTAATGACGACCTCAGAAGTCATGGGTTATAAATCAAAGTCTTTCTTATGGGTGTCTGACACTTCCCTAACAACTATCAGCCGGGAAGATCCCAGAGACCTCTAATCTTACAGGCTATGAAACTGCCCTTGGTTGCCAATGAGAACTGGATGATAAGGCCCTAATGCTAACTGCACCAACACCTTCTGCAGTGCTAGAGCTGAACCGGAAGATTTTCTGCTAGGAGACATCACGGCACTAGAAGATGCTACGTCGAAGAGAAGTCTCCTCTGGCCTTTCACACATTTGGGTCTTGAATTCTATAGCAGTCGCTTCCAGGAAAGAAATATTTGCTATAAGTAGCACAGATATGATGGGGTAAAATCCTGTTTTCTGATTGCATCAGAATCTTACACCCTAGGGGCAACTTGTTGCTCATTATTGTAGACATGGCCAAAAGTCCATGGCTGGGGAGGCCAAAACTAGAGCTGAACCTGCTAGCATTGTTTTGTAAGTGGAAATGTTGCCACACTGCCTCCCAAATACTTCCTCCCAGTAGGTTAGCATGACCCTCAGCCTCGATCAGAGAAGCTTCCCTTTGCTGAGAACGGCAGTCAATGCCAAGTAACTGTGGGATGTGCAGCCTTAAATCCTCCCCCTTAACCCTTCCTTCCATATTCAGGAGAAGTCATGAAAACATGTAAGCACTGGACAATAGAGACAAGAGCCACGAAACAATGCTTTGGGCAAGTCATTGCCATGGCACTTATGAAGCAAAGCAGATGGGTCTCTCACGCCTAGGTCTAGTATAAGACTCAGCCGATGAACATCCAGTCATAGGTGGATGCGGGGCTCCTAAGGCCCTACCACACCAGAAGGAGCTAACGGCAATTCAGGAGGCATTGGAGCCATTGGTGAGTTGCATTCTAAGGTGGACAGCATCAAGCCCATGCCCACACGTGTGGCCCTAATTAAAAGCAGCAGTTCACAAACAAACGCAAAATCAAAACAAAACGACATGAAAGTGAGACAGAGATGTGATGGAACTAGATGGGTAGAGCTGGTGTGGGTAAGAAGAGGGAAAGAAAGGGGGGAGATGGGTTTGGCCAGAACATACATGCAGGAAGCTGTTGAAAACGATAAAAATCAAAGTATAGCATTATACTATAGGCTGGCTATAGCTTGGTAGTGATAAAAAGCAGCATTAATGTTACAGTGGAGAGCTATCTGAGAGTTAATGAAGGAAAATGAGAGGGTGCAGAGGGTTAAATGAAAAGGTCACTCACCTAGTCAGTATGTAACTGACAGGACTTGGAAATGCACAGAGAAATCTAAGGGTGCAGTGAGGTCAACTGTTCTCTAGAGGGACAGAACTCACAGAAGAAACAGATAATGTGGGAGGGGTCAGCATCCATGATTCTGGCTGGGTGGTCCAGACACAGTCATCTTCATGCGGGTGGCTTCTCAGTCCATTGGCCCGAATGCCCCAGCATTCCCAGTCCTGATTCCCAAGATTGCTAGACACCTGTTGGTAGGAATGAGAATCTGGGTTCTAAAGGCAATGGAGGATGACGAAGCAGCAGCAGTAAGAATGGGATAGCCACACCCACAAGCTAGAAGCAAAGGCAGGCAGGCAGAGCGCTGCTTTTTCTTGGCTTCTATGCATCTGGGCCTCCGCTGGCTGGTGCTGCTTCCTCTGGGTAAGAGACTTCTCCCTCAGTAATCCCCTCCTGGGAATATGCTCGCAGACCTGCCCACAGGCTGCCTCAGAGGTGTTTCAGGAGACAGTCTAGCTGACAATATTTACCATCAGAACAATAAAGAGAGCAGTTGCCTGCTGGGGTCTGTGGAGTGCAGGGACTCTCAGCACAGACCTAGAGATATTGTGAGGTCCTCTGCTTGAGAAGTCAGGATTCTGGGGGGTCAGGATCCAGGGTCCCAGACACAGGAGACTGAGGAGTAGCAGACCTGAAGGTAAGGAAACTACAGTTGTTCTTAACCTGTGCCTCTGATAGCTCACCTAATTTCCACAAATCCCCCTTCTGTTTTCAACCCTGTAATCTTACCTCAAATGTCCCTAATGAATCCCCGGGTCCCTCCTGCTTGTTGTGTTCTAATACAGTATCTAAGAATCTGGGCTGGGCAGTGGGACAACTAGTGTTAATTTTCAATATAATAGAATCTAGAATCATCTAGGAAATCTAGGACCTCTGGTCAGGCTGCAGGGGATGATTTTTGCTTTGTACTTTGTTTTCAAAACATCTTTTATTTGCTCTTGGACCATTCCACACTGATACAATGTATCTTGATGTAGTAATAGGAGCTGCGGGGCTGCCATTCTGTTGTAATAGGAGCAGCCGGGCTGCATTCTGTTGTGGGAGCTGTGGACTGCGTTCCTGCTGCCCCAGCTCCTGGTCGCCTGGCTAGCTTATGCCCCCAAAAAACAACACACAAACTGTATTCTTTTAAACACTGCTTGGCCCATTAACTCTAGCCCTTACAGGCTAATTCTGATATCCCGATCAACCCATTTCTAATAAACTGTGTAGCACCGGTCTTACCAGGAAAGATTCAGCATGTCTGACCTGGCGGCTTGCTTCATCGTGTGGGGCTCTGAGAGGAGCTGCATGATTTCTGACCTCACTTCCTCTTCCTCCCAGCATTTTGTTCTGTTTACTCCACCCACCTATGTTCTTACCTATCAAGGCCAAGGCAGTTTATTTAACCAAAGACCTTCCTCCATCATCTTGATCACATCACCATTAAAGGAATGACCTTGATCGTGCTCATCTCTGTGGGAGACCTGCCCAGTGTGGAAAACCCTGCCATCTGGCTAGGATGCTGGCATGGAGAGCTGAGCTGAGAGGTAACACACATTCATCTCTCTCTGCTTCCTGACTGCAGATGTGACATGAACAGCTGCGCCCTGAGCTCCCGCCACAGGACTGCTCTACCACGGTCGGTTTGGGAGCCAGGACAACCCACTCTTCCCTTATGTTGCCTTGGACAGGGTATTTATTTCATCATAGCCACAGGAAAAGGAACAAAGGCAGGAAGACACGGAAAACAGGGTGTAAAACATTCTTTGAAGAACTTTGAATCGAAAAGTAATCTAAAGAAGGTATCAATCATACACAAAAATGAAGGCTGTTGAGTTTAACTCACTTCAACCTAAGCTTTGAGGAATGTTTCTCACTGTGTGGTCTTTTGCACCAGCCTTGATGAATTGGTGGCAATATTGGATAGAATCTGGACCAAGAAATAGGGACCTAAGCACTAGGAATATTATCATGTCGTGCACCTGCTCTGTACCCAGAACCTCACAGCAACTGGGCCACACTGGTCCCATTTCTGTCCATCTCCATGGAAACTTTTAGCACTATGGTTAGTACTCAAGGGAGAAAGAGAAACCACAGGTCACAGTACTAAGTCATTAGACCACTGTTTAAAATAAGGCTATTTTCTCCCTCTGTCTTCAAGCCGCTTTTCAGAACAAGAAGACTATCATTATCCTCCTGTGTGAGTGCTGCTTCAGGAAATCTGAAGCTGCACGAGAAAGCTGAGGAAAATGTGAACTGGCTAAGGTCCCTGCACTGAGAGCACACACCAAGGGTCTGGAAGACCCAGGCATGGGCTCCTAGAGTGTGAGGCAGCAGCCGGTAGAGGGCAAGACCACCTCCTCACTGCTCAGCGAGCCACCTTCCTGGACACACCAGTTCCGTGCTCAAAAACAGTTTCTTTGAACACCACCCTCTCTAGCTTCGAAGGTGGATACGACCTGCCTCTGCTGAGTGGCGTGGAAAGGCGAACAATCACGAATGTGCCTGTGGAGCTGCTCCCGTAGCTCCC